TCAGGACGTAGTCAATGCTGCCATTAATGCTTCTGACATATGGAGGAGTTGTACTGGGCTTAGGCTTACGAAAAACATGCGTCTTCAAGGACTTGCTAATTCGGATGAACGTGATGAGCTTGCACGTTTTGCAGATTGGATAGCCAACATCGGAGATGGAACTATCGGGGGGTCGAATGACGGTTGTGCACATATAGACATACCAGAAGACATTTTGCTTCAGCCATCTGATGATCCTATTGCTCAAATCGTTGAAAGCACATATCCAATGTATAAGGAGGCGCCTGACGATCCAAGTTATTTGAAGGATAGGGCTATATTAGCGCCGACGTTGGATGTGGTCGAGTTTATCAATGAGTACATGAGATCATTGAATTTGTTGGATGGTCGTATGTACTTGAGCTCTGATATTACTTGCAAATCAGATTCTAATAATGATTTTTTGTCTGATCTTCATACGCCTGAGTTTTTGAACAGTATCAAGTGTTCTGGAATACCGAACCATGAGTTGTTTTTGAAGATTGGAACTCCAGTCATGTTGTTGCGGAACATGGATCATTCTATGGGTTTGTGTAATGGGACGCGATTGGTTGTGACAAAACTATCCACTCATGTTCTTGAGTGTAAGATACTCACAGAAGATCATGCTGGTGATACGGTGTTGATTCCAAGAATGGCCATAACTCCTTCTGATGTTAGAATTCCTTTCAAGTTCCAGCGGCGGCAGTTTCCCATTATGGTTTCTTACGCCATGACTATAAACAAGAGTCAGGGACAATCTTTATCCCATGTTGGCTTATTTCTTAAGAAATCGGTGTTTAGTCATGGCCAGTTATATGTTGCTGTCTCCCGTGTCACTAACCGAAAGGGTTTGAAAATCTTAATTTGTGGCGAAGATGACGTGCCAAATAATCAAACCAATAATGTTGTATATAGGGAAGTGTTCAATAATATATGATCTTTTCAGTTTAAGTATATGTTTGTATGTCTATTCTTATGATCATGATCATTTTGTTATTACACAATCTATACTTATATTATAAGCAAACCTATTTACTAATTTCAGTAGGTAAAATAGTCAACAATAATTAATGATTTACTATTTTTATCAACCATTTAATTAATGCATCTAATATTTTTGGTATGCAAATCAAATTAGCATTGAATTAGTTCCTAAAATATTGGGTATGCAATATTAATTTAGGAATATTCATGTAGTTCATAAAATGTTGGTATGTAATACGTAAAATAAGATTTTTTAATTTTTTTTAAATATGAAATATTGCAACACGTAAAACTATTTCAGTTATTTTTTATTTTATTTTACATATAAAATCTAATCAATTTTAACGCATCTTACAAAATT